ACTAAAAACTACTTCCAAAAACATTCAGCTTTGATATTAATGAGTTTTTTGGGTTCATTGAGAACATGGTTGTTGTTCAATAATAAAATTATTCCTCAAATATACAACTTGCCTAATAATTCTGCACTCCCTGTAGTCTTCTGAGCCAAAGTGAATATGCTATATGTGCAGTCAAGCTACTGTACTGCACATGAGTGCCGCTGTGTGTGTGCGCCTGTGTTTTGCTTCTATCTTTCTGAGGTCCAATTTGTGTTTTAGATCCTTTTAGGACATTTTACTTGCTTTTGTTTTCGAGGATTAAGACTTAGTTTTACAGTGACAGACGTGATGTTCATTTAAGGGGATGTTTTCTATAATCACGGGTCCCCACGAGTGTATAAAGCCAAAGATAGCTGTGTGCCTGAGCTTGTTCTTTGAACTCAGTTTGACTCTGACACCTGCTGAGCATTAGACGCATCATCACGAGTTCACCTGGAGTGCATGACCCCACACATGTGTACACACCTGCAGTAATCCCCACAGTTTATCTCCCGTTTGATCTTCCCATCAGCACCCACGCCGCTTATCGCATTCTCTTTCACATTTTCTTTTCATTCATTAAATATTTACTTCCTTCTCATTCCTTATTTTCTATTTCTAAATCTATCTCTCCGCTTTGTTATACTTACTGTACCAGTCGATCACGTTATGCAACAATTTCTTCTTTCTGTTATTGTTTTGTTTCTCGATGAGTCACACCTCGTCTCTCACTTTCTCTTTTTCCACGACAGTAAAAAAACGGATTAAATAAACCAGGGAATTTAACAGAACCCTACTGTAGTATGTGACCAATGTCAAAGTGAAAGTAGCTTCTTGATGATATGTGTGGCCAGTTTCGACACACTGGAACTTTCTAGAAGTCAGCGGCCGGGCTTCCTGTGGTCCACTGTAAAATGGCACACAGGAGTATCATTTTAGGAGCCTATGAAAAACAAATGTTATTGTATTGCAGACAGGAATAAAATTGTTGTTTAGTTTAATGTTGACCACACAGAATGTGACTCTCACTGGTCAGTTTCTTTTTTTAATCAACCCACCACAAATATTTGAATGACTAGTGGATGAACTCCCCTGACTTAGTGCAAATTCACTGCTCAGTAAAATTAAGAAACCCTTGATCATCCCAGTGTAACGCAGAGTCAGTTAAACTTCAGGGATATAAATCTGTCTCTTCAGGAAGCATAAATCACAAAAACATCAATTTCAGCTGACATGTCAGCAGGTTCACTCGAGTGCCAACAGCAAGACAAACCTATGTCCAGTCAAGATTGCTCTCTTCTTAGCCTGCAGCCCATTCAGACCACTTTTTTGACCAAACTGTCAGAAACAGACTCTATGGGGTCAGCGCAAGATCCCAACATCCTTCACTAGGACCTCTGCTCAAACTCCAGAACTGACTTGTCTGTGATTGGTGCCCATTCTCTTCACAGATGAGAGCAGGTTCACACTGAGCACATGGACGGATGTCACAGCCACCTGCAGACTCTTTCACCTGTGCGAGTTTCTTCAGTGAACGTTTAAAACATGGCACTATGTTGTGTTTTATTCCCGTAAAGCCTGAACCATGAAATCATTTTCTCTGTTTATTTTAAACAAACAAAAATATATACAGCAGGTTGGATTAAGGTTCAAAAACACAGATAATTACACTGATGATGTACAGGTATCAGATATTATACACTTGGCATTACAGGCTTGATAATGCATTTAGCATCAATGAAGGGAAAGCATTAAACTCAGTGAATTCAGTCTTTATTATAATCAGTCATATACCTTTTTAAATTCTTTATATTTTAAATAGCTGGCATGAAATGCATCATTTAAATTTGAATACAGTGCATTACTATCAGGACTGAGTCAATATTCCAACATATCCATGGAAATGACTAACCGTCTGAGGTCAAAGTGGCAACCCTATTCATTCTTAAGGCTAACCCTAACTCTAACCGTAGGCATTGAGAATATGAACTTTTTTTATTGTTATTAACTTGCTGTCCCAATTCTGGGTATTTTGGGAACAAAACGTATGATGACTTAGACATCAGAGGGTTAAAACATTAAGAGGAAAGTGAGGAATTCTACCAAATTTTCTGAAACCATCACATATAAATTGGTGTTTATGGGCGAAGGAACTTGACCTCTATTTTTAAAAGTTTCTTTGATTTAACTTGATTAGAAATTCTCATTACAACCATGGGTATAATCCATATTTTATGCAGTGGAACTGGAAAAGAAAATGAAGTGAGGGAGTTCTGGCCCGTGTACACAGAGCTGATGAATAGAGAAACACTGGGTGCAGCCTTCTCAGATGGGAATTTCTGAAGAAAAAAATTACGCGAATAAACCTGAAAGTACAAGACGTGCAGAACCCCAGGCTGAATAGGGCGAACTGCCAAATAACTTCCTCCTCATTTCCTTCTACACCATTTACAGAAAGAGCTTCACCTTCATGATAAAAACAAAGGGAAAACCGCAACGTGTCAAATCTATAAATAGTCTGATGAGGTACCAGTGTTCAGTTGCAAGAAGCAAGTTTCTCTGGAAGCTCTTCCCACTCCAGCTGGATGTGCAGGACTTGCTTTGCCAGCCCAAACTCTTGGCTCGCTGTGGACAGTTTAAAAAAGAAGTGACAAAGCAGGAGCAGTTCTCACATGTTTGACAGGCTATCACGCAGGGAAACCCCACATTCAAGCAAGGAGGAAAAACTCACACACCTCATACATACCAGAATACATGCCAACTGACAATTCAGCCTGCCAGGAAATATTGACACTTGTTCAAACGCACGTGCCCGCACAAGCAGAATCACATGCCTAGAATTAGAGAGAGGCCTAAAGTGTAATTACACCCATAATTTCTTGTTCACCTTATTTTCCACCAAAATGTCATTATTCGCTTTTTGTCACCAACCACCAATTTAATTAAATCTCAGTCACTACAGATGTCAGTATTTGATTAGCTCTTACATTTCCTCTTACCAGCCAGCAGTCCCGTACAAACAAGTCCTGCAGCTTCCAGCTGCAGACTCATTTAGTTTCTAGTGAAAAACCCCTGAAGTTTACTGGAAGCATTGCTTGCAAGAAACTGGATAAGCTAAATGTGATTTTTCTTAACCCCCTACAGGATGTGTCACTTTATAAACTTTGACAAGCAGTTTTGCCCTGGGCTGTACCTTCTCACTTGAAGCTGCTGATACCTGCTTAAGCTTATGTATGTTTCCTGCAAATTAACATAGTGATACTAAAGTAATACTCATAGGCTACAATCTCTTTGCTGGGCCACATCAACTAGTTTATAACCATTGCTGAGCAACATTAAAACATTAAAAATTAACCCATTATCTATTAAAATAAGCCTCCACTTTGCGTAGTTTAACTCTGTGCTCTTCGTTATCCTCCCAACACAACAAAGTGTGTAACAGACATGCCGGTCCACCTTGTCCTTTTAATGCTTTGTGTCTCCAAAGGTGAAATGTACACGCATGCAGAAGTTGCAGTAAAAACCAAGGCAGATATTTTATTTCAAGCCAACATGAAAATGGTCACAGGAAAGTGTTTAAACAGAGTGTTTATTAACACATTTACATCTATATACATATTAGCCACTTAGCTTAATCCAGTGGTTCCCAAACTTCTTTTGCTTGGCCCCCCTTTGTTTTACAAGAAAATCTTCGTACCTTTGTTGTTGTTGTTTTGACTGTGTAAGAATATTCCACATTGCTATCAATACATTTTTTTTAAAAAATGCCTCTCTGTGTGTAACCCAGATCATTGTTTGAGTATGGGATTTCTGATTATTTGTGGTCACTGAACGCACCACTGTGCCGTGCGCATAGCCACTCTCTAGTCCAGCTACAGAGTTTTTCCTTCCGTTCGTGCGATGAGGCGCATGCTGCTCTCGTGCCCTCTACGAGCTGGAAATTCGGGTACAGTAGACATTTGAGTTGCTGTAAATAGTTTTAAAAACCTTTATATGTGAAGCTAATGATGTAATATGTTGTTAGGAAAAAGAGTCTTGTAGCAGTTACGAACGTGAAGCTGAGCTGAAACCGACAGCCATTCGCCATTACACGAACTCCTCTGGTGAGTTAGCGTGCAGCTCATGTTCGTATGAAATGTTTTGTGCCTTATTATATTGCAGCGAGGTATCAAATCTACTGCTGTCATGTTGTTAAGAAAGAGGCTAAATATTGTATAACGTGTGTTATTGGCTGACTGTTAGCAAGCTAGCCGTTAAATGAGCCTAGCTAATGTCCTAAAATGGCGGCCGACACGAGGTCAGTTACAGTGTTATTATGTTATGCCTAAGAGAACAGCATTAATAAGCATTGTTAACTGCATTTATGTTCTGTTATGTTGTATTTTGACAAACCTGTATTATTATAATGGTAAGTCTGTTAAATAAGCCGTTAGTGACATGGACACTGAGTCAGTGGTACTGAGACTTATGAACATTTCAGTTAATTTTTCTGCACACTTGTGTGTAGGCTGGTTTGTTTGCCCTTTTGGTGCCCTGGATCCTACTGGATGAACTGCCTTGTGGAAGTGATGACTCTGCCGAACTGTCCTGGCAAATAGATGGTCGTTGCTGCTTGCTGGATTCTATTATTGGATGCTACACCGTTCCAACAGAGCGGTAGGAATAATTCAAAAGGGCCCCAACGATGCGCTTTATTTTTCCCTGAGCTCAGGTGATTTTCTTTTGGCCAAAGGACCTTAAAGGATACATATTTGGTTTTATTTATTTATTTATTTTATTTTCCTTGTGACACTGAGTGGAAAGACACTACAAAAAAAAAGGGGTTTATTATTTAAAATTGTGTCGAATAAATGTGTTTATGCTAAGTAAGTGTGGTGTCCATTGTGTGCTGGAAACCTTATTGTTCCTGTGGTGGAGCAGCTACTACCAATCTCCTTTACGAAACTAGCTTCTGACAGGATACAGGTATTTGGGATACATTTGATTTCTTGTAACCTATTTTTAGAGAAACTGTGATTCTGGGTTAAACATTGGGGTGAAATTGATGACACCGACACCTAGTGAACTGCCCAAGGTCAACAGTCCTGATTTCCACGCATTAAAGGTTTGGCGTAAGTACAGATTGCGTTACATGTGCAAAATGGGTTTAAAAACATAAACAACTGTGGGATACTGTTTGTCTGTGACTTAAATGGGGGGAACAAATTGTGGCAGGATCAGCCTGATATTATTTGTATCCCACTGTAGCTTTGCTGTATAAAGAGCAACAATCGCCAAACTTTCATTATAGGAAGTGTTTGTGAACTAAAAATCAAGAATGTGGGGTACTGTTTCCCAGTGATTTAAGCAGCCCAGCGCGTGCTACTGATGCAGGGGAAACAAATTCTGTTGGGGGATACCTACCTTGGCACCGCCGTTGTGCAGGTGAAGCCAAATGCAAGATATGCTTCGTCATATTTTCTAGTCTTTGGTTTGGATGAAGTTGGTTTGGAAGCATATTTGGCGATAATTCATCTTCTGCTTTGCATTTGTGTGGCAGCCCCGTTCATTATGCTAGCACTGTTCAAGCATTCTTTTTTTCATTCATACCGCACCCTCCCTGCAATGGCTCTGCGTCACCCACTTTGGGAACCACTGGCTTAGTCGATTCTGACGAATAAAGACTCTGGAATGTACTTCATACGTTCTTAGTTCACTACTAACTTTGTGGCTTTAAATATATTATCTCCCCCTACTGGAAATGTACACAGTGGACCAGCATGTCTATTACACATTTTGCCATGATACTGGGTTGCATTTGATCTGACAGCCTACACTCATATGACGAACGCCGGTCAGAGTGTCTGAGGACAGTTGCAAAGTTTCCCAAATTATTTACTTGTCACCTGTCCACTTTTTGGACCTACGATGAAGCAAAGGATTCAACTACAAGTCCAGTTCCAACCATACAGTAAGTTATGATCTGTTAAGTTACTTTGCTTTGTCAATCTTTCCATCCACCCCTGCATCGTTTCTAAGCAAACTTTATGCTGCTGTATGTATGTTAACTGATGCTCACATCTAAAGGCAAAATAGAAAATTTGCAAATTACTACCACAAACCATAAATGATGGGGAGGTCAATATGCATTATGTTTGATCAGAAACAAAAGTAAACATTGAAATGTGCATATGACAGCCCGGCACGAAAAGTCATTCAGTCACAAACTTTGTCTTTATCTTCAACTTTGTTTGTGGATTGTCTTAAAAATTTCATCATCCAACCTACAGAATCAGGCTTTGTCTTAAAGTCCTGCGTGAAGTTCATCATTGCTGTTATTCAGTTGTTTTAGCGCATGATCCAGTCTTGACATGGGCGGTCACTCTTTCACTTTCACAGCACTCCCACTCTGTTTACTCAGGCTATGCACTAGCTGGTTGTTGCCCGTTGTTAGTATTTGTGATGATCCGTCATACCTGCAGCTAAGGATTCAGCTGTGTGCTGCCACATCCTGTCCACTGGATAATAGCTGAGGTTTAATCCTCAAGAAAAGATGAGAGTCACAGCTAAGAGAAGTCTCCCTTTCACACTGAATTTTCCGTATTCTGCTGTTCCCTCTGTTGCTTTCTCTCCAACTTGCCTTTTAGTTTGCTGTTTCTTTTACCCAGCAAGAGACAGAACAGACACATATTTTATTCAGGAAACCAGACACAGGGGAGGTGCAGCTGTGTTATTGCAAATCCAACCAAACCAAATCTTTTCCATTGAGGTGTGTAATATCAAAAAATTGCTCATATCATAAGTTTTGATGATTATTAAGTTATTTTTAAATGTAATAATAGCTATAAATGTAAAGAAAATATATAATTTCCATCCTGGTTTAGCCCCGTTTTAAATTATTATTTTTTATTTAAATAAATTTCTTTACACACCAGTCATGGTAATAGTCAGAAAAATTCCCAGCCAGGGGATTGCAGTTTGTGTGCCATTTGGAATTTTTTTTTTTTTACTTGCTCATTAGGCTTTGCTCACTTTTTACTTTTGGTTTTACAGGATCAGTGGGTTTAAGCACAAAAACATTCAGTCACAAACTTTGTCTTTATCCAGGATAAAACAGGATTATTGTTGTTTATGGACCATTAGCATTATACTCGGATTGTACCATAAAGTGGCACAAATGTCCAAAATAAGGCTGTGCCACAATCGTATCATCCATGAAGACACCCATAATAATGTTTGCACAATAGGAGAGTGTCATAGTGTTGCTATAGTAATGCCATGGGTTTGTACACCTCTGCCTCCAGAGCCGAGTTTCAACCTCTGATGAAGATTTATTTGGCAAAAACGCACCATGCAGTACAATCAGGCTATGTAGGCACATGAGGAGGAGATGAGAGGAGCTCCTGATGTGCAGCCCACGAATAAACAAGTGGTTTAACCAGGCATCACTGCAGCATCAGCAGCCAGCACGGGGAGTGCTGAGACATGGGAGCGGGGAGCACAAAGACACGGACTTTTCAGGGAGGACACGACACGGGAGTCAGGGGAGAGCACGGGGATTTATTGTTGTTTTTCCATTCACTGTGAATAAACGCACTGCTGATATTCAGAGCTCCGCGCCTGGGTCCTCCTTCCTCACTTCCCCACGGTTGGCCATCGTCAACTGTGACAGCATCTGGTAGTTAGACTCTGTAACACAAGAAGAGCAAATGATGGATACAAATAAATGATGCAGGTGCATAATGGACAAGCAGGACTTCAGGCTGCTTGACCCAAGATATAACACCACAGGTGTCTATAAATGGTAAAATTCAATGCATGGTAAAAATACGGAAAAACATCTGTAAATAACCGATAGGGAAAATTCTTTCTTTTTAAAAACGGTACATTGTACTGTGTTTTCTTCTATTTGAAATCAAGATCAGAAAAGTCCAGTTTAAAAATATGTATCTCAAAGTATTTGTCAGATATTTGTACTGAGCCGGTACAACTCCCAAGACGTTCTGAATGGATATTATTGTCATTGGTCGTAGTCATGTTGAAGAGCAGGTGTGCTCGAAACGCCTTACGTTACTCCTCAGTCTCTCAGAACCAATGAGACATGGGAAGTGGTTGCTCCATGATCGGAAGGTCGGGGGTTTGACTCCACTGAATGGGTATCCTGAGGTTCCCCTGAGCAAGATACCGTCCCTACAGCTCCCCGGTCGCTGCATTGGTGGCTGCCCACTGCTTCACTGGGTGAATGGGTTAAATGCAGAGGAGTTATTTCCCTACGGGGACCAACACACACACTTGCATCCTTGCAGATCCACAAAGTGTAATGCTTCCTTTTGATCTATGTTTTTGCCTCTTTGCACATCTTTTTACATCTTAATGTCCCCAGAAATAAATCTTAAAAAGAATATTACCTACAGGTCGCAGCACACGGCGAGCACATGGCCCTTCCACGAGCCTTTTTATGCTGGAGGTTTCTTCGTGTAAAAAGGGAGTTTTTCCTTCCCACTTTCGCCAAATGCTTACTCATAGGGGGTCGCCTGATTGTTGGGGCTTTTTCTTGGTCTCTACCTTACAATATAAAAAGGCTTGAGGTGACTGATGTTCTGATTTGGTGCTATGTGAATAAAACTTAGTTGAACTGATACGACACACAAAACAATGTGGTTAGGTTCAAAAACAATATTATGGTTTGCACATTCGAAAAATGACGCTGCCCAGTACATTTTAATGGGACGTCACTAGTACCTTGTGTATTACACAAGTCTAGTCACCTTGTGTATTACAGCACTGATGCCAAAGGACACCTTGTGCGAGACGCTAGGGGTTTTGACACAACAACAGGATCTGACGCCCTGGGAAACTGTGCAGTTTTGGAAACTGAAGGAGAATGGCTTCCAGGTGGTGCAGAAAAAGGTTTTAATGTTCGCAAGCTGATTTTTTTCTTTTCTTTCTGTTGGAAGCATTTTTCAAAAACACTTTACCTTTTAAGTACCGCATTCACAACACTGTGTAATGGTATAAAGACAATAAAATGAAAAACAAATACAGATCACAGAACTTTCCTCCATTCATGAAAGCCATCAAATTATGTCCACACAGTCTGACCAACAGGACGCAGGGAAACACAAACACACACACACACACACACACACACACACACACACACACACACACACACTGTTCCCTTGAAGTGGTTCATCTTGGAGTACTTACTGTGGCAAACAGACTCTCCTGGCAGCAAAACTACAAACAAACAGAACCAAACTCCTTGTTCTTCCCACAAGCTGTGTGTGATTTGGTGCGTGTATCCCAACTGTAAAGCCAGTGTTACTTTCAGTCATATGTCATGTTGTTTGTGAACATTATCATTTTTTTCCAAAACTTCCTCGTACACTTGTGTGTTCTTCTTTGGTGACCATGTAAGTGTGTGTAGCTTGCATCTCTCCAACCCTAATGTCTTTGAAGTGGGTGTAGGTTTTTACATGTGGACTTATTGTAGTAGCTTTCTCCTTGTCTTCCTCTCTCTTTCTCTTTTCTGTCTTCCATCAAGCCAGAGAAAAACTCTGGTTTTTTCTTGATGTTCACAAACCACAGTGATCTGCTGGCAGGGGAGTAAAAACAGATATGGAAGCAGTGAGACGTCACTCAATCACACAATCACAGTGCTGAGACCCTGAACCAGATCATCGTTTTCTGTGTGTTCCCCAACATAACAGTTCTCAGTCCCACTGTTAGGCTCTCTTTGAAGAGTCCAATACTGAAGTTGAATATTCACAACAGAAGACACACAAGAGATTACAAAAAGCTTTACTATTTAATCTAGTGTGCAGCTAAGCATTGCTTCCCTGTGGCTTTTCAAATGAGAGTCAGCTTTTCATGGAGCATGTTTACACGTACGCGGGAGATCTGACTCTGTTTTCTAGTTCCAGTAACAGTTCCAAGAACAATGTTCAAGGAAAGAGCCACCATTCATCTCTGCATCAAGAAAGCGAGGCTGCTTAAGGGAACGTTCGAGTAGGGTTTAATCAAGTCTGCGGTCTTTTTAATGTTGGGCGTCATTTATTTATGAAAGCATCCAGCTTGTTGACGATTTGTTACCAACAGTATCGTGTTTCACCCATTAAGCTGCTCATTGCTGCTTTCACAATGCTTACTTAGCTAAAATCAAATGAATCTTTCCTCTAAATAACACTGCGGTCCCACACTACACCCAAATTTGATTTTTATTTAGATCTGACAGATGTGAACACCAAAAAGGTTCCTGATGGAAAGTCTAATCCCCTCTTTCTAATCACTATCACTTATGCTGCCTTCTTCTTTCTGTTTGCCACAGCGGATCATCTGCTTCTGTCT